TCTCATCCATAGGGTTGCCATGGGTCAATACCTATGAGAAGGCAGTTAACAACAAAAACTCTGAATGCAAAGGAGGTGCATGAACAAATTTCACTAGATTGCCAAAGTTGTTACAGCACACAAGAACAAAATTTTACCGTACAATAGGAAAACACTATTGTCAGAGCAACATAGTTAACAAGATGAATTGCTTTTTTTTTACCAGAAAAAAGTTAAGATTTAAAGAACTGTTTTAAATCAATTTGAATTCAATCAATACAGGAATATATGAATATATTAATTTAAATTAGGATCAAGCTTCAACAATTTGAAATGAATTTATTTCCTCAGCACATGTGCATTCAAACTTGCTACTATAACAATAAGAATATTCAGAATATATACATAATATATAATGAGAATATATTGGTTTGAAGCTACTATTTAGGCGCAGGTTTTAACCAGTTGTTTGTTGTATTCTAGACTTGTGTCTGCTTTTAGACAACACATGCAATTGGATGACACTATGTGGCTGGATGATACAATTTTGTTTCAGGCTTGGGTTGGGGATAGTCATGGATGGAAATATCCATGGTCATCCTGGTGGATGACATACACTGTGAAACAAATACAGGGAGTTCAATAGTGATAGTTCTCCTGTACCTCTCAACAAATTTCAATGCCATCAACCCTGGTATCCTTCTGGGCTTGGGAGATACACTGTTATAATGGTTGTTCTGTTCCAACCCATGGTCACAAGGTCCCATGTTGTCTGTCTTACATGCTTTTCAACCTCTAAGTCAGTGATTCCCAAACTTTGCTCCCCCAGATGTTTTGGACTTCAATGTCCAGAAGTTCTAGTTATCTTGGCCAGCGGTCAGGAATTCAGGGAGTTAAGTCCAAAATATCTGGAGTACCAAAGTTTGGGAAACATTGCTCTAGTGTCTGGGCTAAAATAATACTAGGACTTGGATTATACAGTATAAAAATATATATTCCATTGGCTAATCCCTTGGAGGATATAAAACTCTCATATCAGTGCATGGAGGGAAGTCTGGTTGGAAGAGCTATTTCAGATAATGTAGGCAAACAGACTTGCCACTCAACTCCTAGATGAAAATCTTCATGAGGGTTGTGAGGGATTCTTCTGAACTGTGGCACAGCAGACTGCGAGGAAAATTGCTCATTCCTCAGGAAAGGAGCAAGCACTTTCCATATGTAGAATTTGGAAGAGCTGCTGAGGGATGGGAATGTTCTCTTTATCAATACACTTATATGAAAACATTTTAAGTTCTAAGCCTGTATACATGCATAAAGTTTAGATTTTCAACTATTTTTCCAGAATTAAAAAAACAAAAACAAAAACAAACCCACACAGCTGAAACTTTTTTAAAAAACCTCATTTAAATTAAAAAAACCTATGGGATCTCCCCCTCCCCACACACATGCAAATATGTTTTATACTTCTTTCTCTTTACACACCTATGCCACAGAAACCAATGTAGGGAGCCTACTTCCAAATACATGATGTATGAATCACTGAAAGGTTCCAGAGAAATAAGTTCTAAGAAAACATCGTACTCTTGCAATCTGCCTTGGTTAATATTCAGGGCTTTAATGAAAATGGACCAGCACAGTGACAAATGCACCAACAGAAATATAAGATGCCCAATATGTGTGTGTGCACGCATGCACACACACTAGGACAGTAAGCATATTATTACTCAGATGACTAGCAATGTTAGTTGATTTCCAGGGACAAACAGAATTAAATGACACATTGTTTTTATTACTGGCTTTTATTAGAGATAGCTAAGGGTCGAGGATTGGCGGTATAAATGGAACTCAGCCACTCAGAAATCCCAGAAAAGAAAAGGAAAAGAAGGGAAGTGTGAACAGGATTTATGAAATCCATTTGTAACTCTATTTGCACTGCAGAAATAATCCAGTTTGACATCACTTTAACTGCCAATGTTATGGAATTCTGGGATTTGTAGTTTTATAAGACATTTAGCCTTCTCTGTCACAAAGCTCTGGTGCCACAACAAACTACAATACCCAGATTCTATAGCATGCAGCCATGTCAGTTAAATTGGATTAGTTCTTCAGTTCCCAGAATTCTGTAACATTGAGCCATGGCAGTTAAAGTGGTGTCAAACTGGATTATTTCTGCAATGCAGATGCAGCCTGTGTAGTGCCATTAGTGAGTACAGTGTTTTACAGGGAAAAAAGAGGACAGATTGTTGCACTAAGGAACTTTCAATCTCAAGTTTTAACATAGGATAAGAAAAGAACGATTATAAGCAGAGAAAATAGTGAACAGGCAAAGAATATGCAATTATTACTGTTAAGGATGCTTTATATTATCTAAACTTGCTCCTGCTTTTAATATATCAAAAACACATTCTGTAACTAAGCAATTGTGACAAGCACCCACAGCCATATTCGCTTTTAAAAGCCTTCAGAACAGGCTTCCCAAACTTGCTGCCCTCCGAACGGGTTGAGCTTCAATTCACATTATCTCTAGCCAGCCCAGGGCTGCTCTAGAAAAATAAGCTAAATTTTATTACTACCAAGAATGAAGTTAACACTCAAGAACAAACTGCTTTCTAAGCAGTTTGTTTCTGGCTCTGCATACAGCCAGTCAGATCCCTTCCAAATCCCTTTTAATTGTTTTCAAAGTCCAAGCTACTATAAAGTTAATTATTTATTGAGTACAAGATTCAAACAAGGCTGCAATTCTACAATGAAAAAAATTATATATTGTCCCAAGTCCATCTGTAAGAACTAAATAAAGCTGGCTTATATGAAGAAAGGCTTCTTCAAAATTTCACTTAATAGCACACTTGTACGACACAATCAGCTAGGGATCTGCAAGAATCTTGGCTTGCGGTGAGGAAGCAATGTGATGCTGCTTGCAATGAGAGCAGCTGAACAAACTTCTTTCTGTAGTTTGTGGGGAAGGAATAAATCAGTGAAGGGGAGCTGCCAGCTGTGAGACACAACAAACCAACTGTGGAGTAAATCTTCATACTTTGTTCAGCTGCTCCTACTCTGAAAGCAAGAGTGATCAAGCACCATGTATGATCACTGTTAATTCATGACAAATCCGAATTTCCATGGATCTCTGGCATGTCGCAGCACATGGCATAAACACACACAATAACCTTTGCAGAATAAATTTTCAGAAAGCAAGGAGGAATATATTTGCAGATTTTTCTGAAAGTGGAAAGCAGAAACTGAATCCTGTGATTCCCATACTTAGGAACCTCTAATCTCCCAAAGAGCAAAGGTCTAGGAAGCCAAGGAGAATTCAACAGAAGTTTTGACTTCCAACATGCTCCACTTCTTGAAAATATAACTACTTCACTGTTGGTTCAGTACTCTATCCAGATCAAGCACTCAGTTATGGTCAAACAGGTATTTCCGAGAAGCAGGCAAGCTTGGTAACAAGAAAAAACTTAAGCCACCAACACCAGCCAATATGTTTTGCAACATCCCCAAATTAGTACTTTGGCTGATGTAATTGATAGCTTCCTTTCATAAAATGACTGACTGAATTAGATACTCTGTTTTAAAGGAATGAATTCTGCCTGTATGAACTATACGAGTGGAAAATTGGATCAGAGTTTTCCTGGTGCATTCCCTCTTAAAAATTCATTAAAAATTAGGTTTTAGCAGCTTTGCATAGCAAAGCTAATTCAACCCCCAGAAAAAAAGCTTTTATCTTATCAAGATTACATATCAGAAAAGTATGCCATCTTATTTAATTAACTGCAAGTCAAAAGCTGATGCCTGACTGATCAGGCTTTTTACATTACATACAATTTTTCTCAATAATCTATGGCCATTAGAATCAAAGGAGATTTTGGGGTACACATCACATGATAGATAGAAGAATATACCTTCCAAATATATAGTATCAGCTAAACGAAATGCCAATATTCTGAAAAAATGACCTAAAACTGAACCATACGTTTCTAGTTTTCAGAGAATATAACTGAGCTGACGGGGGGAAAAGATGAATTATCATTTCATTTTGAGACAGCATATGGTTGTCAGGGTTCTCTTGTGGGTTTTAAAGCAGTTTAGTTACTAAAATCACACACATTAACACAAGCATAGCCACTGAATATAAGCCTTTTGCCACTTTCTCAAACAATGGCGCTCATACTAGAACACAGAGTAAGAGCCACAAATTAAGTATTGTTTATTATGGTTTATCTTTCAAAATTCAAAACCTCAGTCACAGAAAGGATCCCTAGAGGTCCAAAACACACTGCAGAAATAATTCAGTTTGAGACCATTTTTACTGTCATGGCTCAATACTAGGGAATTCTGGGAACTATAGTTTTGTGAGACATTTAGCCTTCCCTAACAGAGAGCTTTGGTGCCACAATAATTCCTAGGATTCCCTAGCACTGAGACAGGGAAGCTAAAGTGGTCTCAAACTGAGTTATTTCTGCAATGTGTTTTTGACCTAGAGTTAATCTAATTTAAAAAAAAAACCTCCCATAAAAGAAAATCTTTAAAGTATTAGTTTACCATAAGTGCCAAAAAGGATATATGCCTCAGTTACCTGTAGAACAAGGAATAACTAGGAACTCAATTGTTTACATCAGCCACCATTTTATTAAAGGGAACATGGAGGCATATCAATTTAGCAGCTTGTCCATCTTTTTTTCTGCTCTCATTACCATTCTTGAGCTAGCGTAGTGTAGTGGTTTGAGTGTTAGACTTCAACTCTGGAGACCAGGGTTTGAATCCCAGTTCAGCCATGAAACCCACTGGGTGACCTTGGGCAAGTCACATGCTCACAGCCTGAGGGGAAAGCAATGGCAAACCTGCTATGAACAAATCTTGCTAAGAAAACCTCATGATAAGTTCTCCTTAGGGTTGCCATAAGTCAGAAATGACTTGAAGGCACACAATGCACAAACAAGGAGAAGTATATTAGACTGAAAGACAATAAAAGAATAGATTTGACAAAAATGTAAGAAAACTATGTATTACAAAAGTTGGAAAATATAGACTACAGTTATGTAGACTAAAAATATTTATCTCTTTAGCCTACATAACTTAAATTATAATCTATAATCAGCAGCCCAGGGGAGGGGAGGGGAGGGGAAAAGAATTAATTATCATGCCACTATTTAAGAGCATAATATATAGAAAGTGGGTGCATACATACATGCACTACCAAGGTGATGAACTTATTACAAATTGAGATTGTGATAAATTGTAAAGCATGATTACCTCAGATCAATAACAGGAAGTAGATTGAAGTCTATAAAAGCTCATCTGCCAATTTCTTTCTTTCAGTTAGTCTCAAACGTGCTACAAGGTCTCTCTACATACTGATTCTACAGACTAATACAGCTATATCTTTGAATTATAGCAAATTAAAATGAAGGATATAAATTAGAGGCAGATGCAGTCACTTCTTAAGAATTATTTGGTGATTTGCAGTTTAAACCTGGAAAGAGGACATGTCTGTTGGTTTGACAGGCAAAGCCTGAAATGTCTTTAGACTGAACATTATGCCCCCAGTATGAAACCAGATAAAGCTACAACCAGAATTAGGAGGGGAATATAACTTGAAAATTACAACTTGAAATATTGGCACTTTAGGAAAAGAAGCTGTATATATGACAGAAGATTACAGTGATACTCAGTATTATTTTCAAAAAACAAAAGGAAAACAAATACCATCAGTATGCTTGTGAAAAAAACAGAGCTGGCATTAAGGTCAAGGAGAAGTGATGAATGCTTCTCTGAATACCTTAGAAATAAAGAAGCAAAACACAGGAACTACAAAATTAAATTTGAAAAAACTATTAATCAACAAAACAAACTATAACAACTTAATTAAGTTAATGTGGGCTATAACCCTATCTCAGAACAACCCCAACAAATGCAGCAAGGCTTATTTTTCAGAACATGTACAAAGGAATCCTAACTCCTCTTGCAAGGGAGTAAGTCCTATTGAACACAGTCTCCTTTCGTTCTGAGTAAATATGCATAAGATTGTACTGTCACCTGCCAAGAAACAACAGGACACAGAGCAGAAAAACAAGAATAAAAAGTGTTAAGACTGGAATGGGGATATGAGCAAGAGGGCTCATTTGAATACATGAAAACAGTGTAGAAGTAAAAGAGATGATCCAGCAAAGAGTGATGATAGGGAAGTACAGGGAAGTATATACTTAAATTGACAGAGACACCGTGGGAGGGATGAATTAACAAAGTGGGACTAAGAAAGTAGGACAGATAAGAAGATTGTGGGTTTTGTGGTGATACAGCATCAGGTTAGGCCATGTTATGATAAGCAGCATGGAGAGATGGAAGCCACAGAAGCAAAAGTCCAGTAAGATGTAAGACACACAGTCATAACAAACTGCAAAGCAAATGACAAATTTGTGGGCTGATTTTATTAAGAGAGGGAGGGAGGCAAAACTAAATGAAGAGGCATGGAGCTGAGAAGCCTCTGCTGGAGATGAATATGGAAGGTACAAGCATGTAGCAAAGTTGCTGTGTTTTAAATGAAAGTGTGGTGTAGTGTTTTGAGTTGGACTATGACTCAAGAGACTAGGGTTCGAATCCCAGCTTGGCTATGTAAACTCACTTGGGCAAGTCACACTCTCTCAGCCTCAGAGGATGGTAATCGCAAACCCCCTTCTGAAAAAACCTGTCAAGAAAACCCCATGTTAGGTTCATCTTAGGGTTGCCATAAGTTGGAAATGACTTCAAGGTACGCAAGAACAACAATTAAGATTCTGCCTCCCCTCCTCTTCCCTTGCCTGCTGAGTTAATTGAGGGAAAACTATTTTTGCAAGTTGAACTCTGTTTGCTACAAATGACATAAACTGAGGGCAAAGAGAAAAAGTGGAGAAGAAGAAAGAAACTGGGAAATTTTAGACTTGAGGGCACACAACAACAACAAGCTGGATGTGAAGGCAATCCCTTGGGGACTCAATCTTATGTGCCTACATAAAAGAGAAAAGTCCCAATGAACTAAGTTCCAAAACACACTGCAGAAATAATCCAGCGTGAGACCACCTTAACTGCCTCTGGCTCAGTGTTAGAGAATTCTGGGAATTGTAGTTTCGTAAGACATTTAGCCTTCTCTGTTAGGGAGCTCTGGTGCCACAACAAACTACAGTTCCCAGGATTCCCTAGAACTGAGCCAGGGCAATTAAAGCAGTCTCAAACTGGATTATTTCTGCAGTGTGTTTTGCAACTCAGAGATACCGCTTTAAAAGTAATCATGCACAGACAAGACTTGTGTTGACTCGTGCTGAAGCCTAGCTGGCCCTGGTCAGCTCACCTCACAATCATCCATTCAGCAAGGCTGTGGCTCCACACATTCATGTATGTGGGCAAGTAAGCATTTTAAAAAGCAAATAATTAGGTGGTGAAAAAGACAGGACTGATTACTTGGGTGGGGAAATGCATGAAGTGATGAGCTAGCATGACATAGTAGTTTGAGTCTTGGACTACAGCTCTAGAAAGCAGGGTTCAAATCCCAGCTAGGCCATGACTTTGGGCAAGTCACACTCTCTCAGCCTCAGAGGATAGCAATGGCAAAACTCTGAACAAGTCTTGCCAAGAAAACCCCATGATACAGTTGCCTTAGGGTAACCATAAGGCAGAAACAATTTGAAGGAATACAACAACAGCAAACTGGGTGTGAGGGCTCTTCGTTGGGGATGCAATCTTATGTATCTTCATAAAAGAGAAAACTCCCAACGAACTAAGAGGGGCCTCCTTAAAAGTAGTCATGCACTGACAAGACTTCTGTTCACCTCACAACCGTCCAGTCAGCAGGGCTGGTGATGCTCATATATGTGAGCAAGCAACATTTTAAAAAGCAAATAATTGGGTAGTAAAAAAGCCAGGACTGATTATTGAGGAGGGGAAACGCCTCAAGTGATGAGCCAGCACAGCATAGTAGTTTGAGAGTTGGATTACGACTCTGGAGACCAGGGTTTGAATCCCAGCTCAGCCATATAAACCCACTGGCTGACCTTAGGCAAGTCACATACTCTCAGCCTCAGAGGATGACAATGGCAAACCCGCTCTGAAGAAACCTTGCCAAGAAAACCCCATGATAGGTTCACCTTAGGGCAGGGTGACCAGATGTCCTAACCATAAAGGAGGGCAACCCCTTCCACCATTCAAGGGAAATGTAGGACGTGGCAAAATATCAGACCTAAAAACACTCATTAAAAAGTAAATGCATGCTTCATAGTCATACTCAAAATGGAGGATATTCTGAAATTCCTCCTGGACAGAAGGCTGAAATGTAGGATATGTCCTGGGAAAGGAGGACACCTGCGTGGTGTAGTGGTTTCAGTGTTGGGACTATAACTCTGAAGACTAAACACTGTTGGTGGCCTGACCAAACTATAAATCCTAGGATTCTTTTTGAATGGCGCCAGTGCTGTTAAAGTGCTTTCAAACAGCAATATTTCTACCGTGTAGATGCACCTTGAGACCATGGTCAGACATGACTTGACAACCTTGTCAACAGGGAATACCTTTACCTTTACCTAGATACACCCTGAGAGTCAGCGTGGCCTAGTGGTTCGAGTGTTGTGCTATGGGCCTGCACAGAATGCCAGAAATAATTCAGCTTGAGACCACTTTGGTCCTGGCTCAGTGCTAGGAAATTATGGGAAATGTAGGTTTTTTTTCTGAGACATTAAGCCTTTTCTGTTAGAAAGCTCTGATACCACAATAAACTATAGTTCCCATGATTCTCTAACACTGAGCCAGCGCTATTAAAGTGGTCTCAAGCTGGATTATTTCTGGCAGTCTGTTCAGGCCCTATGACTCTGGGGGCCAGGGTTCGAATCCCAGCTTGGCCATGGAAATGCACTGGGTGACCTTGGGCAAGTCACACTCTCTCAGCCTCAGGGCAAGGCCATGGCAAACCTCCTCTGAAGAAACTTACCAGGAAAACCCACGACAGGGTTTGCCATCAGTCGGAAATGACTTGAAGGCACACAAACACACACACAAATAAGCATCACAGGAGTGTCATGGATATATGAATTGACAGCTGGGCTATCTGGTTTTATAATTAATGTACTGAATGTTTTAATTTTAGTTTTATGCTTTTTAAATAAACGTAGGTCACCTTGAGAGAGCCAGCGTGGCGTAGCGCTTTGAGTGCGGGACTGAGACTCTGGGGGTCCAGGGTTCGAATCCCACCTCGTGCACGGAAACCCACCTTAAGCAAGTCACACTCTCTCAGCCTCTGGGGAAGGCAACGGCAAAAACTCTTTCTGAATAAATCTTGCCATGAAAACCCCATGGTAGGGTCGCCATGAGTCAGAAACAATGATGGGGAGGCAAAAGGGCTGTTAGTTCAATTTAAAAAAAAAATGGGGTTGTGGGCGTGATCCGTGTCAGAGAAAGCTGGGCGGGTTCACACGACCACCGTGAACGCGTGTTATATTCCACGGGGTTAGAAAATGGCAGGCGAGTTTTCTCCACAGAGGAGGAAGAAGAGGACGACGCCAAGGCCTGGTCCCCCCTTCCTTCCTTCCTTCCCATCCCTCTCTTTCTGAGGCGGTATCCCGGGGTACGTGAGGGAGGCTGGGAGACCGAAGAGGCCTTCCCGTTACCTTGTTTTCGCGAGAGCGGCGACACCAAAATCCTTTCACGGCGGGACGGTTGTGAGGGGAACAGGAGGAGGCGGCGGCGGCGGAGGCCGCGAACCTCAGCCCCTCACCCCAGTGCGCACGCGCACTCCCACCCTCTCTCTCCCACACAGACATACAAACTCACTCCCTCTCCGCTAGACACCCAGCGCTCGCCCCGCTCCCCCATGAGCCCCGCCTCCCAGCACAGAGATCTGACACGCTATTGGTTCCCACGCCTGACACTTGGGAGGCTCTAGCCAATCCCGTCTCAGGATTGCCCTTTTGCCCTTTTTCTCTCTCTCTCTTTTTACCTACGGTGTGAGGAGAGGAGCAACTAGAGCGAACGTCGCAGTGAGGGTGAGAGGCTCGCGTTCTAATTGGTGGGGAGTGACACTCTCTCCCCGCCCACCAAGACGCTGATTGGTCCGCCTTGCTCTTGTGTCGCTTTCTACTGGACGGCGGTGCCTCTTTTCAGCATTCCAATTGGTGAGGAATTGTACTCTCTCCCCGCCCACCGAAACGCTGATTGGCTCGCCTTGGTTTTTTGTGTCCCTTTCTATTGGCCGGCAGTGTCACCCTCGCCTCTTTTTCTGCATTCTAATTGGTGGGGAAATGGCACTCTCTCCCCGCCCAACGAGACGCTGACTAGTTTTGTGTCATCTCCTATTGGCATGCAGTGCCGACCTCGCCCCTCTCCTCCTGTGGGCCCGCCTCCCAGCACAGACACTTGCCTCGCTATTGGGCCTCACTTCTGACACTTGAGCCGCCCTGTCCAATCCAATCTCAAGACTGTCCTTTTGCCCTTTTTTTCCCCTCTTTACACCTATCGTGTGAGGAAAGAAGCAACTAGAGCGAACGTCACAAGGAGCGAGAGAGGCTCGCATTCTAATTGGTGAGAAATAATAATCGCTCCCGCCCTTCCGGACCGTGATTGGCTCACCTTGGTTTTGTGTTCCTTCCTATTGGCCGGCACTGTCGACCTCGCTCCGCTCCTCCCGAGGGCCCGCCTCTCTTCATAGAGACCTGGCTCACTATTGGTTCTTATGTCTGACATTTGTGCCTCCCTGGCCAATCCAATATAACAATTGTTCTTTTACATTTCCCCCCTCCCCCCGTCTTTTCACCCATTGTTGTGAGGAAAAAAGCAACTAGAGCGAACGTCGCAGGGAGGGAGAGAGGGAAACTCGCATTCTAATTGGTGGATAGTGACAAACTCTCCCCTCCCACCGAAACGCTGATTGGCTCGCCTTACGTTTGTCTCCCTTTCTATTGGTCGTCAGTGTCAACCTCGCCTTTTTCGTTCCTCGCGCGCCTGCGCAAGGAGGAGACTGGAATTAAAGAGTCCCCAAGGGGTGGTTTTGCTCCTAGACACTCGTCCGCGTGCCTGGCGTGATGACGTCACCAACGGTTCCGCTCCGGCTATTCCAAGATGGCGCTGCGCTGGAGCGGCTGTTGAGGGCTTGAGGCGCTTGGGCTGCGTCGCGCGTCGGTTCGGTGAGTTTCTCTGGTTTTTGCGCGGGTTTACGTCAGGAAGGGAGAACCGTTGGCCGCCTGGAAGGCTGAGGGAGAAAGACGAGGCGACCTTTTGACCGCTGGTCGTCGTCATGGGCGAAAATGGAGCCCTTTATTTAGAGGAGGCGGGAGTTCAAGTTGGGAAGCGTGGCGTAGTAGTTTGAGATTCGGACGACGACTCTGAGGACTGGGTTCGAATCCCCACTCGGCCGTGAAAACACACTGGGTGACCTTGGGCAAGTCACACTCTCTCAGCCTCAAAGGATGGCCATGGCAAACCTCCCTCTGAAGAGATCTTGCCAAGAAAACCCTGTGAAAGGTTAGCCATAAGTCAGAAATAACTTCAAATAAATATCTGTCACATAAGTGTCATCGATGGATCTATGAGGTGACAGCTGTGCTACCTTCGTTTTATATTTACCCACTGAGAGACCCTGGGCGAGTCACACTCTCTCAGCCTTGGAGGGTGTCAGTGACAAGGTGCCTCTGAACAAATCCTGCCAAGAAAACCCCATGATGGGGTTGCCCTAATTCGGAAAATACATAAAGGCGTACAACAACAACAAGCCACCTTGAATTCAAAGAGCGAAGACGTACTGCATATGTAAAATTGAAAGCTTTCACAGCCAGCAGCCATAGGTTTTTGTGGGTTTTTTGGGCTGTGAGGCCATGTTCTAGATCAGGGGTAGGCAACCTTTCCCCTTTAAGGGCCGAGGGACTTCAGCTCCCAGAAGCCTCAGCCATGTTGGCCAATAGTCCCATGTTGGCCAGTAGCTCCTGGGATTCTGGGAGCTGAAGTCCCTCGGCCCTTAAAGGGGAAAGGTTGGCTACCCCTGATCTAGAACAATTTGGGTGGGGATATGGCTCAGGGGGGCAAGCACCAGCCCTCCATTCTCCTCTCTACCCCAGCTCCACCTGAGGAGACAGCTGGGCTGGGGATGAGGCTTGATATTGTATTGACCAGGGGTAGGCAACCTTTCCCCTTTAAGGGCCGAGGGACTTCAGCTCCCAGAATCCCAGGAGCTATTGGCCAACATGGGACTATTGGCCAACATGGCTGAGGCTTCTGGGAGCTGAAGTCCCTCGGCCCTTAAAGGGGAAAGGTTGCCTACCCCTGATCTACCCTGGTACCCCTGGTATTGACCCACGTATAAGTCAACCCAGGTTTTTTGGGTCAACTTTCTCACTTTTTATTTAAACTTATACACGAGTACCATGTATACTCAAGAAATATAAGTTGAGAAATATATGCCCCCAAATTGACCCTAAAATTCTGGGTCAACATATATACAGGTTAGTACACTAATATACAGGTTAGTACACTAATACTACTTAGAAGTGTCCTGAAATAAGCAAGCCTGATGCCCCGCTCTCCATTTAACACCAATTTCTTCCATCCCCAGTTCAATTTATAAGCCTTCTCTTCCCATGGAAGAAACTCCCCATTTAACACCACTTCCTTGTCTCCTCAGTCCAATTTGCAAGGCTTCTCTTCCCATTAGAAAAACTCCCCATTGAACACCACTTCCTTCTCTCCCCAGTCCGATCTACAAGGCTTCTCTTCCCATGGAAGAAACACCCCTTTTAACTCCATTTGCTTCCCTGGAGCAAAAAAATTCATTTGCTTCCCTTTAACAAAAAAGTATCTGATATATGAGTGTCATGTATACAGGGTGACAACTATCCTGTCTAATTTTATAGTTAATGTGCTTAATGTTTTAGGGTTTTTTTTAATTATTGTAAGCCACCTCAAATTCCATTCTGGGAGAAAGATAGTCTATAAATACAGTTACCCCTCTGTTTTCATGGACTTGAAGTCCGCAGTCTTGATTATTCACGGAGGGGCAAGCCCCATTGGCTAAAATGGTGCGCATGCCCATGGTGCACAGCCATTCAAGTCAGTGGGGCTCGAATATATCCGAGTTTCCATTTTTGTGGGGGTGTGGTGTCCAGAATAGATCCCTGTGAAAACAAAAGGGCGACTAAACGTTAAGGCTGTTTTGTGTGTGGCTGTGGTAATGGGGATAGCTGATCGCAGATAACAGAGGCTTCAGGCATTTTTGTAACTATTGTTAGATTGGTTCTGTGACTCACAACTGGGTGTATGTATATGTATCCACACTGCAGAAATAAAACAGTTTGATGTTGCTTTAAATGCCCCGACTCTGACCTACAGAATCCTGGGATTTGTAGTTTGGTGAAGCAAGAGCAGTGCATCTACACTGTAGAAATAAAACACTTTGGTACTACTTTACTTTAGCACCATTCTGTGGAATCCTGGGATTTATAATTTTAGCTTTTAGCCTTCTCTGCCAAAGAGTACTGGTGCCTCACTAAACTACAAACCCCAGGTTTCTGTAGGATGGAGGTAGTTAAATTGGTGTCAGATTGTATTATTTCTACAGTTTAGATGCACACCAGGCTGAATAGCTCACCAAACTATAAATCCCAGGATTCCACAGGATAGCACCATGATAGTTAAAGTGGTGTCAGACTGGTTTATCTCTGCAATGTGGAAGAGTTGTGGGTTGAACCAATCCCACCACCGCAGTTTACAATCCAGTAAATGTGTCTAATTAGACTACATTTGGAGTAAAGATTTGAAAAGTTTAGAAACTGTATCTTGAAGACTCTCTGCTTTGAGAATTCAGTTAACGGTGTCATATTGGAAATAGATTATTACAGAGTTGTCTTAGAAAAATAACTTCATAGGAACCATTATAGGTTTTAGGTTCATATGATGGATTCTAGGGTTTGCCAGCATTTGAATTTATCTCTGTAAGTGCTCTTTTAATGTTGCTTTGATGGGTAACCTTTTGGTCATCATACAGGTTTGAGTCCCCCTTATCTGAAATGCTTAAGACCAGAAGTGTTAGGGATTTTGGATTATTTTTTTCAATTGGATTTTGGAATATTTCCATATACATAATGAAATATCTTAAAGAAAGGACCCAAGCCCAAACATGAAATTCATTTCTTTTGTATACACCTTATACCAGAGGTAGGCAACCTAAGGCCCGGGGGGGGGGCCGGATGCGGCCCCCTGAGGCCTTTGGACCGGC